ACGGTTTTGAAAGAATGTAAACATTCAGTTTCTGATTATTTGGGCAAATTATTTAATTTGTCTTTAGATAGTGCAAAAATTCCGGAAGATTGGAAACACAGCACTATTGTTCCTATTTTTAAAAAAGGGATAGAATAGACGTTTGGTTGAGAATTATAAACCAGCTGCTCTAAGCTATGTTTGTTGCAAACTTTTGGAGTCCATTATTAAAGATCATCTATTGAGTTAAATTTATAAAAACAATTTATTAGATTATAGGGAACATGGTTTTGTGAAGGGGAAATCAACAACTCTCCAGTTGTAGAAATTGATAGATTGTTGGACTGGTGCAGTTGATAATTGTTTAGATGTTGATGTTATTTACACAGACTTTACTAAACCTTTTGATAGAGTGTCCCATGTGTTATTGGTTAATAAGTAGCGTGGTTGTGGTGTGAATGATTGTTTGGCTGAATGGATTAAGGAGTATTTGTGTGGTAGAACTTCTAGTGTGAGAGTGAATAATTGTTTGTCTAAAAGGTTTGAAGTTAGTAGTGAAATGCCTCAAGGAAGTGTATTAGGTCCGCCTTTGTTTATTGTGTATGTGAATGACATGTTTGATATTGTGAAAGATAGTTCTGTTCAAATGTATTTGTATGCTGATGATGCTAAAATGTTTAATTTTATAAGATGTCTGGATGATAGGATAGTGCTACAAAAACATCTTGAAAAATTGTATGATTGGTGTATGTTATGGAAAATCGATTTGAATATTGAAAAGTGTGCAGCTATAAAATTTGGTCATTCATGTTTGGATAATAATTGGTGTTATAATATTAATAATTCCAACTTGGATTTTTGTCAAGTAAACGATTTGGGGGTTTTGTTTGAACGTTCACTGAGCTTCTCTAAGTATATACATAATGTCATTATTACAATATTCTATAAATTCACTAAAAAACTTTAGTGAGAAAAATCGAAAAAACGAACTACAAACATATTAACGCCAAACATTCGGTAGAATTTATAGAATATTGTAAAAATTATGGTTTATTACCAACATAATGTCATTAATAAATGTTTTGTTCTTTTAAGATTGTTATACAGAAACTTTAAAAATTTAACTAAAGAGACATTTATTTTGATTTATAAATCTTTAATTAGGTCAAAGTTAGAGTATGGTGTCAGTATATGGTCTCCTTGGAAAATAAAAGAAATTGACGATTTGGAAAGAGTTCAGAAACGGGCAACCAAGATGGTCAGGGATTGCAAAGGACTTTGTTACTCGGACCGATTGAAGTTTCTTGGCTTGCCAACTTTAAAATTTAGAAGAGCCCAGACCAGCTTTGTCTTTTGATGCGGATCCACGTACCAGAGGGCATCGCTATAGAATACATGTTCAAAAGTTCCATACAAATACAAGAAAGTATTCGTTTTCTAACAGAGTGATCTCTATTTGGAAAAATTTACCAACATGCATTGTTGAATCAGATACTGTTTCCAACTTCAAGAGGAATTTTGACTTATATATGGCCAACAAAGATTTTCTCTATGATCATAAAATTGACATTGTTGTTTGATTGCTTTTTGTTGTCTTTTAGTGCTATTTTGATATGGGCATATATAACTTACGTTTAAGCTCATTATTTATTTATATTTATTTATATACATAAATATATATACATACCATACATTTATATACATGAATATAAGCCCATTTATACTGCAGTAAAAAATGAGAAAAAACCAGATTTAATCAGATCTACAATTCTTCGTTTGTGTAAGCCTAACGTAGCTATGTTTTTAACATCAGTCGGTAGCGAGTTCCATAATCGGATGGATACAGGAAAAACAGAATTATTAAAAAAGTTTGTGCGTGGAGTGGATAGATAAAACTCAGGAATTTTCCCGAGGTGCACAGAAAGATTATACGAAAATCGATTTATTTGGTCAGATAGATATGGACATGACGTAATTTCAACTATCTATAGAAACATAATAAAGATCTAAGAATAAATAAATCTTGAAATTTAAGAATGTTACATAAATTATAACAGTGATTGACATGTTGAAATTTATTTAAATTAAGAAATATTCGAATAAAATAATTATGACATACATTCAATATATGTAAATTATATTTAGTAGTATAACCCCAGACTGAAACACAGTAGGCTAAATAAGGCATAATGAGAGAGTTATATAAAGTGTACAAGATATAATTAGGCAATTTACAACGAAGGCGGTAGATCAAACCTAAATTTTTATTAATTTTTGTAGATATATACTGTACATGTTCCGACCAAAATATGTTACATGAAATGATAACACCCAAAAATTTTGTAAATTTAACACGATTAATGGAATTGTTATTTATTGACAGTTGTATATTAAAGCCATTCGTACGAATTCTTGGCCCGAACAAAATACCTTCCAGAATCATTTCTCTTCAAATCACTTCGTCCAGATATTGCCATTCGACGAGGTGATACTATCGAAATACTGGAATTAACAGTTTGCCACGAATCTAACTTCTCTATATCTAAGGGATATAAAACATAAAAATACTTTCAAAATCTTAATAACACTTTGATAAACGAATTTAAAAGCTCAAATATTATAATAAATTCATTTGAAATTGTCACGCTAGGTTTTTTTTCAATATTTTAAACTATCATTGATTAATTTTATTTGGTCAGACCCTTTTGAAAGAAGTTTAATCAATTCCGTAGTATCGTCATCTTTCGCAATTTACTGTGATAGGAACACGATTTGAACCTAATTTAATGCTGATTCTATTTCTCTTTGTGCCCATTTAAAATGTGTTGCGAGCATTGTAGAATATCTATATAATTTACAATATAAGTTTTATTATTTTAACTTTATAATTACAATGTATGTTTACAAATGAAAATAAAAGGATGCTATTATTATTATTAATATTATTGTTGCTGTTGTTGATAGTGGTGTTGTTATTGTCACTATTGTTATTATCATTATTATTAGATTGCTGGTTGATCCGATTGAAGTTATTGTTGTTCATACTTTGAGTTGGAATTGTTGTTTTGATACGTTGTTGGATGTTGGTGGAAGGTTTTTCAGATTCGATGAAAATGGTTTCTGCGATTCTTAGGTTGTAGTGTTGTTGATTGTTGTCTAAAATTTTTGTGTTGTTATCTAGGAGGTTCCTAGTTGTTGGGGTGTTGTGGAAAGTTTCTAGATGGTTTTTTATTGCACCATCTCTTTTGTGCATAGTGAGTCTACGCGATAGTTTGAAGACGCGCACAGTCGTCAAGAGGACAAGAAAATTTATGTGTAAGATGACTACGTTTCAAAAGGGAAGTGTTGTGAGGTAGGCAATTATTCAACATTAAAAGGTTAGATGTTTTGTAGTTTTTGTAAAAGATTCTTAATTTTGTTCTATCGTTCGGGTTAGTTGGTTTAATATTGTTATAGATTATCTTCTTCATGATCTTTTCATTAGTTTTGTAGGACAAAGAAATAAAATTTCGATAATATACATAGTATAATGATGTTATTATTATTGTTGTTGTTGACGTTGTTTGTGTTAATGGCATTATCGTTGTTGTTATTATCGTTGTTGTTGCTAGTGTCATTACAATTGTTGTTATTGTTGTTGTTAATATTATTACCGTTGTTGTTAATGTAATTACCGTTGCTGTTATTGTTGTTAATGTTATTACCGATGTTGTTGTTGTTATCGTTATTGCCTTTATGGTTATTGTTGATAATGGTGACAATATTATTATTATTATTGTTGTTTTGGTTCATACGTTTTAACTTTTTATTGATGACATTTTTAATTAGATCTGCGCTGTAATTTTTATTTATAAGAAGATTTGTGACACGTTTCATTTCTGATGAAACGTCGTCTGGGGATGAGGTGTGTGATGGCGCGATTGATGAATGATCTTACGGTACTCAATTTATATTCATCAGTACGTTCACTATTTCCATTAAAACATATTCCTTTATTAGTTCCTTTAATGTAGAGAGAGGTTTGAAAGTTGTGTTCGTTGCGAGTGACAAGAACGTCGAGGAAAGGGAATTTTTATCACTTTCATATTTAATAGTAAATTTTAATTTTAATTTATTGAATATTTTTAATAAATTGTCGATTAGATTAGGATCTTTATAAGATACAATAATATCATCAACATATCTTGTGTAGAAAAATCGAAAATTTATAATAACAATAAGTTCGTTGGCAAAACCTTAGGATGGCACTGGGAAATTCCATAAAATATTAAACAAAGAGTTAAAAATAAATCCAGCTTAATTTGCGCCATTTAGCTCCTCCCCCTTTTTAATATTTTTGTTTATTAGATTACAAGACGAGAACAAGAAAAGATCTTTTTTCAATCATTTTTATTTATTAATTTTTAATTAATTTTCAATAATAGATATTTTAAAATTTTAATTTGTTTTTCATTTCAAAATTATTGTCAATAATAAATATTTTAAAAATGGCTTGTGTTAATTATTTTAAAAAATTATTTTATTTTATGTGTTTACATGTTTCTGCCATTTTTTCTTCTGTTTTTTCTGTCATTTTTTCGTCTGGTTTTTCTGTCATTTTTTCGACATTTTGAAAAATGTCGTAGTCATGATCTTTATCTGTAGTCATGAACTTTCCGGCCGTTAATAGTCTGTCATCAATGGAACTGACAAACGCCATAAATTCGAAACAAAAAGCAGTGGACTGGGCGATGCAACACGGATTACTGTCGTCCGGAATGACATGCGTTTGTGGAAAAGTTATGCGTTTGTACAATTACAAAAAAGCAGCGGACGAACAGATATGGCGTTGTACAAACCATACGGCCTGCAGCAGAACAAAATCCATTAGAAATGGTAGTTTTTATGAAAAATGTAAGCTACCAATAAGTACATATATCATGGTTATTTTTTTATTCTTAACTTAAATTATATTTTATAAATATTAAATTTTAGAATGAAAAACAATAATTTTGTTCTTTCAGTTGACATATTATTGGAGCATGGGGGACATCTGTCAGGCAGCGACAGCTTCATTGCTACAAATAGATAAAAATAACACGTTGCCTGACTGGTTCAACCTCCATCGCCAACTCTGTACCGATTGGGTACGAGACAATCCGAAAATAATTGGTGGACCTGGTCGAACTGTCCAGATTGATGAGAGTCTGGTGTCCAGTAACAAAAGGACAAGGAATGGAAGGGCCAGGCCATTTCGGCAGCGTTGGGTTTTTGGCGGCATAGATAATGTTTCCAAAGAAGCCTTCTTAGAAGAGGTGGCTCAACGTGATGCGTTTCATGTTGATTGACGGCCATAATACAACGGCATGTTTTGCCCGGTAATGATTTTAACATTTTTTATTAACCTTTCCTATATTAACATTTTATCTAATTCTCATTCAGGCACGACAAAATTGTCTGACAAGTGGGCCGCTTATGCGAGGTTCTCGGTTCCAAGTTGGAACCGGAACCTCGGTGCCTAGAAACCGTTTTAAGAATACAAACGGTACTGTACCGGTACCTCGTGTCGGGTTCCGGTACCTTGGTACCGGTATCGCATAGGGTTCCGGTACCTGTACCTTGGTACAGTACATCACTAATTAGGACTGCCTCTGCAATTTTAAGATGCGTGTAGTTGCTGTTCTGGTATATGCATGAATTCGAAAAATAAGTTTATTTTGAATTCTAATAAACTAAATGTTCACCAAAAAACTTTAGTGAGAAAAATCGAAAAAACGAACTACAAACATATTAACGCCAAACATTCGGTAGAATTTATAGAATATTGTAAATATATATAAATATATATATATTATATATAAGAGTTTCGATTATAATTTATGATTCTAACAAACAAATTTGTTGCTTCTGAAAACAAAGATTTTATTTTGTTAAATGTTAAAAAAAATCATTATTGGAGAAAAAAAACTCACCTGAAAACAAAGAAACGACATTTAAAGTTTATTATTTCACAAATTATAATCAGTTTGTCACAAAATATATTTAATTAAACTTTACTTTTAGGTTTTCTTTTAACCTATCAACAAAAAACCCCAGACAAAAAATTCGCAATGTATTATCAATCGCGCAAAGCGCGACAAAATCAAAATTAAAGAAATATAGTTTCTTTACATCTACCCTCCCAAGAAAGAAAATTCACATGAGGGATTTTCTGCCAGAATCACGCTTTTATCTATTTGTCTTCATTTGTATCCTCCTCAACTTCATCTTTTGTTATCTGTACTGGAATTAATTTTGAAATATGAAATAAGTTTGACTCTGTTTTCCTGTGTCCTGTATCTATCTCATAAATGGTATCTGATTTTTTTTTCTTTTTTATATGGTCCTATTCGTAGTTCTTCTAGTTTTTTTCGATTTAATTTATTCCCATTTTCGACATAAACCATATCTCCAACTTTAAATTCTCTATTTTTTCTTTTTGCATCATAACACATTTTGTTATAGTAGTGTGATTTCAGAGTATTATTAAGAGCTCTTTCTTTATCTCTGATCCAGTCACTGTGTATACAGTCTTCACTTAGCTCATTTGGTAAGATTGTAGCATCTGTCCCATAAAACAAATAGCATGGTGCGTAACCAGTTATTGAATGAATAGTTTGATTATATTTTTCTACATATTGATGTGCTATTGTAGTCCAAGCTTTTTTTTCACTTTCATTTATTTTGCATCTTATCTTGTTCACTAGCGTTTGATTTAACCTTTCATTTATGCCATTTGAAAAAGGCGCATTCACAGCTGTAAATATCATCGTTATTTGGTTTTCACTAAGAAAGTGCTTGAATTCTTTGGAATTTATTCCAGGGTATTGATCGCTGAGGAGTGTTTTAATGTTTTGTATTTCTGTGACCTTATTTATTAGTTTTATAAAATCATGTGCATTCTGGGTCTTTGATGTTATAATAAATGCGTACCTAGTGAAGTGATCTACTAGAAGGTGTAGGTATTTCTTGGTTGATCTTGAACTACCAAAACCGCCAATTGTGTCTATTGATATTATTTCAATAGGTCTTGTGGCCGGCCCTAGATATGACATTAATCCGTATTTGTCTTGTCCTCTTGTTTTGTTCTTTATGCAAATTTCACAGCTCTTACAAACATCTTTTATATTTTTTGTTAAATTCTTTGATACATATATTGAACTAACAGTCTTTAGCATTTGTCCAATTCCAATGTGACATAAATCCTCGTGTATTAGTTTTATAAGCTTGATACTGAATTTTTCTGTTAATATTATTTTATCTTTGTTTCTTATTTTTTTGTAGTATACATTATGTTTTTCAATTATTTTGTTTTTGTTTTTTTGTATTTCTTCATTTTTATTTTGATCTATCATAATATCCTCCAACGTAATTAAATTCACTACTTTTAATTGATCTTCTATATTTTCTTCTGGTTCCAACACGGGGTTTCGGCTTAAACAATCTGCTTCTAAATTTTTTCTTCCTGGGGAATATTTGATTTTGAAGTCATACTGTGAAAGGTAATAAGTGAGGTCACCCAGCTCTTCATCTGTTCTTGCTCTCAAATTCATGTTCTCCAAAGGTTTGTGATCTGAGTAAACTGTAAATGATTTTCCTATTAACCAGTACTGCCAATGTCTCAGTGCTTCCCTGATGGCCAAACATTCTAAATATATAGCTTTTTTCTTTTTTTGTGCTTCATTAAGCTTTTTTGAAAAATAGGCTACTGGTTTTTCTTTACCATCTGTTTGTACCTGTTTCAAAATTGCACCAACGCCCTCCAATGATGCATCGGTATAGATGTTAATTGGTAGATTTTGATCATATATTTCTAGTATCGGCTGTGAACATAAGAGACTCTTTACTTTGTCAAAGGCTTGTTGACATTTTTCAGACCAAACAAATTTCTGTTTTTTCCGAAGTAAGTTATGTAGAGAATCTAGTATAATTGCACTTCTTGGTATGTATTCGTGATAAAAATTTATTTTTCCTAAAAATTGTCTAACGTTCCTTTGGGTTTTAGGTATTGGGAAATTCTTTATAGAAATTAGGTTGTCCTTTATTGGTTGTATCGAATTGTTTTGAATAATATGTCCTAAGTATTTGATAGAATTTGATGCAAATGTACATTTTTTAAATTTTAAGCGAAATCCTTCTGTTTGAATTGCTTCTAGCAACTGTTTCAAGTGTTTTATGTGTTCTTCGAAAGATTTTGAAAATACCAAGATGTCATCAATATAATTAACAGTAAATTCAGTAAGTTTATATTTTCTAAGAATATTACTCAATATTCTTTGGAATATTGCTGGTGCTGTCTTCAGACCGAACGGTAGACAAGTCCATTGGAAGTGTCCTTCTTGTGTTACAAATCCTGTCTTCTTTCTGTCTTCTACTCTAAGTGGTATAGACCAAAAAGCGGAGTTTATGTCTAAACTTGTGAAATAGTTGCAATACCTTGTCTTTATCATTAGGTCATCAATTAACGGGAATGGTTGAGCCTGTGGTACTACAATTTTATTTAAATCTCTAAAGTCTATACATAGTCTTGACTTTTTATTTTCTTCTTTCTTAAATGCTAAAGTTATTGGTGCTGCAAATGGACTATAGGACTCCTCTATTAGCTTATTATCTAATAATTTTGATATTTGTTCTGCTATTTCTTTTTTGTCTTTTATA